GGAACCACTGTTTCGAAGGAAAATTAGACCAGTGTTGATAGATTCATCCTTCCATATTTGAGAATTACTTGTCCATAACTAATGTTGTTTTAACAAGTTTCGACCTAATATATGTTTGAGCTACGGCTTCTTAACTTCAAATCTCAGGATTCGTTACAGTCGAATGTCAACGAACACTTACTATTTTTGTTCAAAATCATAAAATGCACGAAAGTTTTGAATTTTCTTTCAATTAAGAGTAAAGTAAGGAATTAATGGGATATAGTTGCTCAGAAAATTAAAAATTAGTCTCAACTCTACTTAAACCAGCTACTATCTCATTAAGAAATGTAATGTATTGTCTCTTGAGGCATAACTTAGTGGTGCAAAAGATATGAGTGAGGTTATCTCACGCCTTGTTGGCAGTCGCAGTGTGAGGATTCGATTCTTGAGACATGAAATTAGACTTATTGTAGGCGCAGTGTACAAGTAATTCTTGTTCCCTGACCCGTTGGGGCACATACCGCGATTTATCTCCATCCCGACATTCATAATAACGGTTCAGATCTTGTCAAGCTTCTCGGCCTTGACTACAAGGTTGGCCTTGGCAATGGCGTCCCTCCCGAACTGCTTGTAATCAAACGTACAATCATGTTGTTCAGGATACCTATGGGATTCACATAACATGACCTCACACCTGCACTTGAATCCCGTCAGTCCCACGCGCTTCCGGCAAGTTGCACACCTATTAGGTTTAGTCTGCTGCAGCGGTGGATTAATTATTGAGTTAACAGATTCTGGACGAGAAAATGAGGAGGATTTCGATTGATTGAGTGTTTTTTCCATGGCGATTTTGGCCTCTCTCATTTCCTCTTCCTTGACGCAATAATCTCTATAGCACTTTGAACACAGATTAAGCGTTGTAGGGCTACCAAAAGAGCCACAATTATTTGCACACAGTTGATGTCCTCCGACAGGCTCTTGCCATTTTTGTTCCTCCGCCATCACAATCCAATCAAAAACCAAAACAATAATATGACTGATTGATACAAATTTCACAAAATATCAATCGATCGATCAATCCCACAAATAATGTGAAATATGTAAATGAAAGCAGAAACAGAATGAAAAGAACAAGTTTGGTGGTGCAGAGAAGAAAGGGGTAGAAATTGGGTTTGGAAATTGGTGACTTGAATTTGAGGAAATTTATTGGAATAGGGTGTGAGGTTTCATAGCAATGCGTTGAAGCTACGCTAAGGAGACGGCAGGTGTCTGCTTTCGGATTTCTTCAAGGACACGAAATCACCGTCTCAAGGTTAATGGCTAAAATTATATTACACAATAAAAATTTAAAATAAGAATAACATTTTTTTTTTTTTTTTGGTTGATATCCAGGTATCCACCTTACAATGACTAAATCCTGAAATCTACACCTTGGCCCCTTAAGCTGCAGACAGATTAAACCGCAGATTGTGCCCCAAACTAATCAGTGCTCAAGTGCCCCCAACTGATCTGCCAAAGTGTCAAGCAATTCGTTTCCCATCTTTGCACCTTGCCTTCCAATAGAGCTCCTACCTTCCAGGATATTATTCATCTTATACAATACTGTTTATGTATATGACTACAATGAACAATGCTTTATGTACATCATAGCATATAATTTTGTATACACTTCGTCACGTGTCAAGTTCCAATTTGACAATTTTAAAAAATAAAAGAAAAGAAATGAGACTTTCCATCAATCACACGTTACCAACTTGGATGATGCACACAATGATGTATTAAACAAGTGTACAAGTGGCTTTATTCGACTACAACTTAAATATAGAATTTGTAATGACAGATCAATTAATATCACATCACAGATAAAATTTTACATAGATGGGCAAAGTTTCAAAAAAGTTGAGTTTTTATTCTAGCCACAAGCTGGGGACCAATCATGCAATTCTTTAATAAATTTCACATACCAGTGTTGAAAGGGAAAAGATCGAATATGCCCGAAACCTGAAATGAATTTGTGATCTACTGAGTTCAATCAAGTGAGCGATGACTTTTCTGGGCTAAGGACGAAGCTCGTGGAGTACTCTAATCGTATATAGAATACAGCGTTGAAATAAAAGAGAATATATAGAGTTACTATACATTTACTTCCCTCATAATTTATTTTTATTACCAAAATCCAAATTAGAACGCAAGTTTTAAGACATGACCCTAAGACCCTACTTAACGGACTTACAATAAAGCCAAATAAAGGCTCAACATTTATCACTTTTGACCAAGAGATATATGTAATAAAATATCCCCTTTATCAACATAAAATTTCGAGACATGAGCTAGATTTCAATTACTCGTGAGCCGCTCCAATCAACGATGGATTCTCATCTTCAGCATCAAATTCCTGCTCGACACCTTTTACTTCGGGTACATAATGCATTAGCATGTTCTCGATGCCAGATTTCAGAGTAACGGACGAGCTAGGGCAGCCACTGCATGCTCCTTGCATCCTTAGTTTAACTATTCCCGTGTCTGGATTGAATTCTCGATACTCGATGTCCCCACCATCATCTTGTACAGCTGGACGGATACGAGTCTCCAACAGTTCTTTGATCATTGCAACAGTCTCTGAATCATCCTCATGGATGGCTGTGTCCATGGAAGCTGCAGTGTTTGAATCCAGGAATAATGGCTGCCCCGAGGAATAAAAATCCATTATTGCTGCAAAGATTTCGGGTTTCAGAAAATCCCATGAAGTGTCTTCCGACTTAGTCACAGTTACAAAATCTGATCCGAAGAAAACCCTAGTAATTCCTGCATTGATAGAGAATTGCATCAGAGCAATTTAAATGGATTCTTGACATGGGAAAGGGGGAAACTAAAATGAAAGGTTGAGTATCATTTAGTACAATCACAAGATTACTTCCAAGAAATGGAAACTTCACAGGCTCGTGGGATCAGCTGAAGTTGAGAAAGATGCATAGAAATACATATATTACGAAAATGAGATCACAACCAAAGAAGTAAAGCACAAGTCACACATTTAAGTTCAGGAATCGAAGCCACTTAACAAAACAGCTTTTTCTCAAAAATATTCTTTTTCCCACATTTTCTTTTACAAGCAACACCATCTAACTTTGATTTTCCAAAACAATAGTTGATAATAAACATCTAGATGCCAACGACAAGTTTTACCTATCAATTGCAATTTTTTTTTTTTTTTTTATAGGTAATCAGAGAATTTTATTCCTTAAAAGAGAGTACACGGAATACAATCACTTTAGGCATGAAAGGAACAACATGAAGTTAGGCAACCCTACAACAGTATTTTTAACCACTGCATTAAACCAAGTATACAAAGTCAAGTAAAATAATTCTCTTATCTGCTCTGATGTCTTTGTTTGATCTTCGAAACATACCAAAAAAGACAGGAGTATGCCATACATCAAAAAAGTAGAGATCCTTATTTCATCACAGCGGCATAAAGGCATGATTTGGAAAACATGAACTGCCTTGAGAAGACGTTAAAACCTACCCAACTCTTTTAACTGATACAGACAAAAACATCCTCCAAGATAATCAATTTCATCATGAGAATAAATTATAGTGCCCACCACAAGGAGCAATGAGCCAAAATCCGTTGTGAATGACAATAGGAGACCTAGAATTCATTCTCTTTCTTGGTTTCAGCGCAAGAAATTGGGATGTCCAAGTAAATACCTCTGCTTGAATACAAACTAATATAAAAAGAATAACTAAGAAATTGAATATAATCATTCACGAGATACCCTAATCACTATTATGCCATAAGATATATAATAGTGTGGCCATCATACAGAAAGCTTCTAAGAGACAGTCGTATACCCTAGTTGTTGCAAGGCTCTAAAATTCTACTTACAAAACAGCACAATTTCCATCTTATTTGAAACATGGATTACACACACATTAAGCCTATCTTCCATGTGACTCCAAATCACTGTAATCTATTTGCATACTCGATGCAATGCCAATGAAGAGGCTGGGGTGAGATTGTTGGGAACATACTTGTACACCTTTGACAATCTTTAAAGGTCCATAAGTCCAAGTAATGCTAAGTTATAGTGTAGAATCGATAATATCCAATACAGAAACAATAAAATGATAGGACTTTTTAAGACGATCTACTAGTTTTTAATTAGGGTGAGAGTTGAGAAGCTTATATAAGCAACAAATGATGCGTTAAATGGAACAGCCAACAAATGCTGCATAAACAGGTGCCTCCTATAACATTTTTCGATTCACACATGCTCTGATCGCTAACAGTACTTTGGTGCTAACTGTCAAAAACTCTATTTAAACCAAGGTTGACGACCCTATCCAATGCAATCTCTGGAATGCCATCAAGCAACCACATATTGAGAACCTGATGTTACTACGAGCTTTAACTGTTCAAGTACTCATAGTCAGACTGAATTGCAGAATTAAACTCAGCAAGATGCAAAGGCCAGAAATAGATTCCAGTCACAGGCAGAAATAGATTCCAGTAACAGGCTGAGCAATTTATTATTTTCAGCGGATAGTAGGTAGAGATCAGAAAATAGACTCAAATTCATTGGACTAAGGGGCTATAGTTCAAGCCTAGAAAAAGCAACACACGCATTACAATTTTCGGAAGATGCAAGTCATTGAACCTCTTTGGTTTCTACATTAAAAAATACATGCAGGTGCACAATTCACCTAGAATTTAACAATTAAGCAAGCTAATCAGGCCATAATTCTGGTGGATGATCACCTATGATTAAGTAACTATTGATTTATAGAAAAGGAAAAGTCTAAATAAGAAAGTAAACCTCCAATCTTTTCAGTTTTCAAATAATAAAGTTTCCCAAACCCTAATATATCAGAGTTTGTAACAGAGGAATTTACTGCTCAGTATCACCACACCCTCCCGCAAAATACCCTTCCTCAGATGATCCATAACCAGTAGTATGTTACAGAGCCTATGTGCCTCTACTAGGTGTTTCTTTCCTTTTGTCTGACTTCAAATTCCTAAATGATTTCTTCCAAGAACTTTACTATAGCAAATATCTGCATATGCGGGTCAAAGGAGATCACATTGCTCTTCAACACATTGGAGGCTTCGTGCGTATACCTTTCTCCAATGAGATAGTAGAATACACAAAGTTTTCTCAGTGGCAATGAACTGTGCTCCATTGAATTTGGATCAAATGAAATTAAATTCAAATTCATAAGCAATAATTGTAATTAAAACTTCAAGGTTCCTATACCGCACTCTAAATGCAGCCAAGGGAACAGCAACTTGCTGTTGGTAACAGAAAAGTTAGGCATTCAGATGCTTAGCTAATTAAAAGCTTAATGAGGTCATATGAATGCACATAGCAACCCAGCAGCTAGCAGCCTATCACCAGTTGCATTTATCAGACTGAATAATTAAGAAATCTTATGGAGGCAAATGGTTTATTTGCCAAAGATATACGTTTGATGGGGCAAGTGCCAACAAGTACTTACACATGCCCAAGAAAATGAATTCCTCCCAGCTCATGGTATATTGATGAAGAAATAAAGAAAACCATACTAAACATTTAGTTATGACAATCGAATCCAATGTTAAACAGCCTTGCTTTGAGATAATTCTTCAAAGTTCAATTTTTCCCTCCATCTTTTCACATGGTTAATTAAAGAGTAGAGACTATAGAGTAGAACTACTTTTTGCTCTTACTAGGTTGTGCAATATATATGCTCAAGCATTCACTTTTCTAGTTAGAGACCAACGTCACGATTTATCCCACTTTGCCATGTCAATTAGTGGATTCATCATGAAGAGAAACTGGGTGGTCAATCTCGCAAGAGACTATTTGGTGGGTTGTAAATTCATTAGAAGTGACTTTGATGTTGTCTGGTGTTAGTTTCTTGGACCTTTCTCATCACATTTTAAAGTGAGGGCATCTCTTCTGGGCCTACGATCCATTACATGCCTAAACAAAGCTGGTTAACTGATCTCTACCAAATAGCACACTTTTCTAAATAATCGACACTCTTTCCCTCTATCAGGAACCAATAAACTCAACAGGGTAAAAATCAAATAAGGTGGTATTAAACTCCCAACTAATAACCATATTCACTCAACAGCTTATCCAGGAGGATATAAGCAAACCCATACTACAGCTCTTGTCATTCCATATTATTTTCCTACCGACAGCTTCTGATTTGAGCATTGACGGACCTACATCATCAAATCTGGCACACTCTGAAGCCTGTTTGCATACATGATATAAGGAAAAAACTGATTGACAGAAAATGATATCAAGCAGGCT